GGGGCACGCGTGGCAAAGGAGCCGAGGGGACGCCGCAGTGGCCGCACAGCTGTGCACGCTTACCAGACTTGTCAGATGGCACATTTCAAACCTGTGCGTGTTGTTGCATGTAACGTCATTGTATCATGATGAAAAATAACACAGAATAAAGGCTGTTCTTTTGCCGGCAGCAAATAAAGCAAGCAAGCAAGCGCGCAGTCACTCCGGGGAGAGAGTCGGCCTGGGTGGCTCCCACCCTCCCATCATCCCTCCGCGGGGGGTGACGGGGCGCCCCGCCGGCCGGCCCCCCAAGACCTCCTCAACAAGGAAGGCTACTCCCCGAAGGCCAAGGAATGCCTAGCGGAGTCGCATCAGCCTCGCGTCGGGAGCGCCAGTAGAGGTGGTCCTGGTCTGCGTACTTCAGCTCTGAAACTCTGCAACCAAGTAGGAAAGAACGTTAGTTTCATTAGTTCAGTCACCAAGGAGACCTGTCTGGGGCAGGGGTGGGCGAGCGCGAAGCACGTTGTGAGCCGGTAAATTGTGAAGCTTATCTACAAGGTCCTTTGAGTGGTTAGAATCAGCTGATCTCTGGGTTCTCTCACCTCTTGGCCCCTGTGGACACGTGCCTCAAGCAGCAAAATCCACCCTCTTCTGGGCTCCCAGGCGCCCTGGGGAGAGGGCCAGGGTGGGTAGTAGCTGAACTGGGGACAGTGACTGTTCTCCTAAGTTGCTGCCTCCTAGAAAAGAACTATGGTTTCCTTGAATCAACAACTCTAGCCAGTCCAAAAAAACCCAGAGACAAGTGCCGGTCACGTGGGGCATCAGCTGTTGGGCCCTCTCCACGTGCTGCTCGACATGTGTTCCCATATCCCTGCCTCCCTCCAGGGCATTTGAACCACAGCTGCCATCGGAGCCCCGACTGGAAGGAGCAGGCCTTCTCCCTTTCTGTTCCCAGCTCTGGGGACCCGGGAGGCCTGCACCCACCTTTCCTCCCCAACCCGTCCCTTCCTCCCCAGCCCATGGGGACGCTCGTGGCCAAACTGCTCCTGCCCACCCTGAGCAGCCTGGCCCTCCTCCCCGCTGTCAGTGTCGCTGCCAAAAGGCGGTTCCACATGGAGGCCATGGTCTACCTCTTCACCATGTTTTTTGTGGCGGTAAGTCCGGGAACCTGGGGAGAGTACCACCCGCAGCGGAGACGGAGGACGGAACCGTCTTTCCATCACTTTGCTGTATTTGGTGACGAAGAAAAGTGATTGGGAGGTGAAAAAAAGAGCCCAAGGACCAGGAGGGAGGGTTGGGGGACCCCCTTTGCCTCCCCGGACCTGTTTCCCCGCCTGTGCTGGGACTGGTGTGAGTGAGACCAAGCCCACAACGGGCCAGGGACCGTCAGTCCGGGACGAGCCCCTCCAAGTTTCCCCTTTCCTTGCCGCTGGCCGACCACCCCAGCCTGCTCCTGGCCCCAGCTGCCCCTCCCCCCACCTCCTGGGCCGGGCCGGGGCTAGCGGGGCGGAGGGGCCTGCAAGGTGACTCTGCTTCCAGGACTCCGGCGGCGCTGGCCCCCATTCAGGAGGGCCTGCTCACGTCGGCTTCGCTCCTTCTGGGGCCCACGTCTCTCTCCGGACCCTCCTTTCCCTTTCTATTTATATGTCTGCGAGCCTGTCTCTCGGCTCCCCTGTCTGTCCCCACCCCCATCTCCCTGTGGGTCTCTTTCCCTCTGTGTTTCTCTTCCTGGTTCTGTGTCTGTTTTTCTTTTTCTCAGTCTGGGTCGGGTTTTCTCTTGATTTCTGGAGCTATATCCCCATGGAATTCATTCACTCTCTTTCTAAGTGTCTTGGTCTCTTCCTCTCTAGCTCTCGTCCCCTCACCCTCCATGTGTCTCTCTGGCTCTATCCATTCTTCGAGCTTCTCTCCGTCTGTCTGTCTACCTACCTATGTACTATCTGTCTAATCCATCACTTTTACATCTGATTAATCATTAGCCACCTGTCGGATCAACCATCCAACCATCCATTATCTCTCAGTGTCTTAGTGCCTTCCTACCTCCCTGTCTCTGTTCCCCCGAGTCTCCTCCCACCCACCCTCGTCGCTGCACTCCCAGAGGGGCCCCTCTAAGGCCTAGCCTTCATTAAACCCAGCTCCCGGGAGAAGCACGTGTGGGGTAGGCGAGCATTCCCGGGCTCCACGGGGCAGCGCCAGACTTACGAAAGGTCACGGGCCCTCCTCACCGCAGGCAGCCCCTCCCCGCAGCAGGACTTCCCAGCTCATTCAAGGCTTAGATCTGCTCCTCCCAGGACCCCTGTGCGGGTGAGGTCCAGGGGGTCTGCTTGGCAGGTGAGAAACCAGGGCTAGAACGGACAGGGGATTCTCTGCAGGTACAAGGGCCTTAGGGCCGAGGAGAGGGACCGGGGTCCTGTCCTCCAAGCCCGTGGTAGACCCAGCCCAGGAAACCACAGTGACCGCCAGGCCAGCCCTCCCTGCCGGGGCTGAGCTGGCCCCACAGCTGCCCGGGTGGCTGGCCTCAGAGGCCCACCCAGCCCTGCCCCGCCCAGCCAGAGCGGCAGGGGCAGCTGCCTCCTGTGACAAGTGTCCTCAGGCCTCAGAGACACACTCTGCCCCTTCCTCCAGAGCCCCAGCAACACTGTGGCCGGCTCGGCCTCCCACACGGAGCTTCTGTGTCCCACCAGGACCACCCGGCGACAGTTGTTCCTGTGCTGGGCCCCGTGCTGTGTGCTTGGTCACATGGAGTCCCCTGGCCCCCGCTGCGGAGCGGGTGCTCTCGCCCTCCTCTGACAGGACTCCCCACCCCCAGGGCAGTCAGCTGCTAGTCTGCGCTCACACGGCCAGGGCCTGCTGGCTCAGCTGCCAGAGGCTGCGCTGTCTCCTGCCGGGCCCCCAGCCCCATGCCACCCCCGCCAGCACCGCCCCCTCTGCCCTCTGCGATGATCAGAAGAGGGAGGAAGGCCTCGCTGGCACAGAAGCCCGTGCTGCTCCCTGAATCTTAACCTACCCCACCTGTTCAGCAGAGGGGAACCGAGGGCCCGGCGGGAGAGGTCCCTCCTGGGCCAGCTCTCCTTCAAACCACTCCAAACCCTGCCTCCTTGTCCCTGCATACACAGGCAAACACTTACTTACACAGACTGTGAAACAGCTCCACGCTAGGAGCTGTGGTCATGGCAGGGATGAGCCAGATGGGGGACAGGGCCCAGAAAGTGTCCAGAATCCTGCAGCGATTAAATCTGTAATCACACAACATGACCTGTGCTACACAGGAGAGGCACGGGACAGAGACACTATATTGTGGGGCTCAGGGGGAGATGTAATTCTGAAAGGAGCAGGAGGGCAGAAGAAGATCCGTGTGCCTCATAGGGCCTGGCTCTGCCTGCCAAAGCCATGGGGAGCAAGGGTCCTCTTCCCTCCTCTAGCCCAGAGATTTGAGCACCTTGATCACACCCTACCTGAAGCTTCTCCTTCCTGAGCTAGTCACATCCACCACCACCTGGTTCCTCTCTTCTAAGCTCTTCTTTGCCAGTGTGCCCCTTCAAAGGGTGTAGCATCCAAAGCTCGATATAGTTCTCTAGGTGGGTCT